CCACTTTATCATATGCCTTTTCTAAATCCATAAATGCAATAAAAACTTCCCTACCTTTATCTAAATAAATACTGTTCACATATATGCTTCAATGTAAACACTTGATCTACACATCCCCTACCCACTCTGAAGCCTCCTTGCTCATCCGCAATCCTACATTCTGTCTTAACTCTAATTCTTTCAATTATAATCCTACCGTATACTTTTCCTGGTATACTCAGTAAACTTATTCCTCTATAATTTTTACAATATCTTTTGTCCCCTTTCCCTTTATATAAAGGGATTATACATGCTCTCCGCCAATCCCTAGGTACCTTCCCCTCTTTCATGCATTTATTAAACAAAAGTACCAACCACTCCAACACTATATCCCCCCCTGCTTTTAACATTTCTGTCATGATCCCATCAGTTCCAGCTGCTTTACCCCCTTTCATTCTACGTAATGCCTCACGTACCTCCATCACACTTACATTCTGCTCTTCTTCACTCCTAAACGATGGTATACCTCCCTGGCCAGTGCATGAAATTACCGCCTCCCTTTCTTCCTCAGCATTTAAAAGTTCCTCAAAATATTCTCGCCATCTACCTAATACCTCCCTCTCCCCATCTACTAACTCCCCTACTCTGTTTTTAACTGACAAATCCATACTTTCCCTAGGCTTTCTTAACTTGTTTAACTCACTCCAAATTTTTTTCTTATTTTCATTAAAATTTCTTGACAGTGCCTCTCCCACTCTATCATCTGCTCTCCTTTTGCACTCTCTCACCACTCTCTTCACCTTTCTTTTACTCTCCATATACTCTTGCTCTTCTTATAACACTTCTGCTTTGTAAAAATCTCTCATAAGCTAGCTTTTTCTCTTTTATCACACCCTTTACTTCATCATTCCACCAATCACTCCTCTTTCCTCCTGCCCCCACCCTCCTATAACCACAAGCTTCTGCCCCACATTCTAATACTGCATTTTTAAAACTATTCCAACCCTCTTCAACCCCCCCCACTACTCATCTTTGCACTAGCCCACCTTTCTGCCAATAGTCGCTTATATCTCACCCGAACTTCCTCCTCCCTTAGTTTATACACTTTCACCTCCCTCTTACTTGTTGTTGCCACCTTCCTCTTTTCCCATCTACCTCTTACTCTAACTGTAGCTGCAACTAAATAATGATCTGATATATCAGTTGCCCCTCTATAAACATGTACATCCTGGAGCCTACCCATCAACCTTTTATCCACCAATACATAATCTAACAAACTACTTTCATTACGTGCTACATCATACCTTGTATATTTATTTATCCTCTTTTTCATAAAATATGTATTACTTATTACCAAATCTCTTTCTACACATAGCTCAATTAAAGGCTCCCCATTTACATTTACCCCTGGCACTCCAAATTTACCTACTACTCCCTCCATAACATTTTTACCCACTTTAGCATTGAAATCCCCAACCACCATTACTCTCATATTTGATTCAAAACTCCCCACGCAACATTTCCCAAAATCTCTCTCTCTCTCCTCTACACTTCTCTCTTCTCCAGGTGCATATACGCTTACTATAACCCACTTTTCACATCCAATCTTTATTTTACTCCTCATAATCCATGAATTAATACATTTGTAGTCCCTCTTTTCCTGCCATAGCTTATCCTTCAACATTATTGCTACTCCTTCTTTAGCACTAACTCTATTTGAAACCCCTGACCTAATCCCATTTATTCCTCTCCACTGAAACTCTCCCACCCCCTTCAGCTTTGTTTCACTTAAAGCCAGGACATCCAGTTTCTTCTCATTCATAACATCCACAATCATCTCTTTCTTATCATTCGCACAACATCCACGCACATTCAGACTTCCCACTTTGACAATTTTCTTCTTCTTATTCTTTTTAGTAATCTCTACAGGAAAAGGGATTACTAGCCCATTGTTCCCGGCATTTTAGTTGACTTTTACTACACGCATGGCTTACGGAGGAAAGATTCTTATTCCACTTCCCCATGGATATAAAAGGAAAAGTAATAAGACCAAGAACTATTAAGATAAAAATCAAAGAAAACTCAGATGAGTGTGTATAAATAAACGTGTACATGTATGTGTAGTGTGACCTAAGTGTAAGTAGAAGTATTGATGTCAAGATATAATTGTTTTTCTGTTTTTAATGATTTTTAATGTTTAACACTATGTGCTCCACTTAGAATGAATGGTATATATATACAATAAGTTTTTTTTTTTTTTACTATTTTGGTCTTCTTATTTTCAATGCTAGGGTTTTGAATGTCAGAGAGACTTGTGTGACCATGTTAGAGTGAAGTAGGGGAGACAATCGGTTTTTATGGCTTGACATGCTATAGGAGTAGTTAACATTTATGAAGAGATTCAGGGAAACCAGATAGCCAGACCTGAGTCCTGGAGGTCAGAGGTATAGTGCCTACACTGTAATTTCAAAACCCAGCCATATCTAAAGTATACTATACCCCCTGAGATGCCACCCATAACAGTCAACTAACACCTAGGTACCTACTTAATGCTAGGTGAACAAGAGCAGCACGTGTAAGGAAACATGCCCAATGTTTCCACCCATGGTGAGGATCAAACCACGGACCCTCAGTGTGTGAGCTGAGTGTGCTACCAACCAAGCCACAGGACACCCAGAATTTATGTACAGCATGTTAACATTAAGTCAGAGACGTTAAGAGCATCCCGTCACAGCTTTCACTTAGTACAAACATAGTGTCGGGTCCGACTAATGCTGTAAATGACGTTTGTCAGGTTTTTTGTAAATAACACTTGGGGTGCCGGGTAACATGTGTTGACGGTCTTAATTTTTTTGTCATTTTATTTTCCCTCACCTCACGTCCCCCCCTCACCCCCACAACGCACACACTCACATGCAGGTCCATTGTCTAACCTTTACACTCATGCTCTCACACTCACAAATATGCTCACATCCTGACAGTCACACACACGCACATCTCCAGCATTCTCACCCCACATCACCGCACTTTCCCACACACTCTTCCACACCTGTATGTCTTCATCATTCACTTATACCTACACACACACACACACACACACACCACGTGCAACATAACCACAGTGGGAAAAAAATAGTGAAATTCCAAGCGCTTTCGTGATTTCTCAAAAATCACGAAAGCGCTTGGAATTTCAATATTTTTTCCCACTGTGGTTATTTTGCAAATCGTGATGCCACCTGTTTTCTGTGATCCTATTTGCACACTCAATACGTTGGACACACTCCCACACTCCCTTCACATACCTTGAAAGGATCTCTCCCAGGCTCGGAAGGTCTGAGGAATGGTGTTGTGGTGAATAAGACGATCTCCGCTGATCTCCGCTACGCACTTGATTCTCAGGACGCCCCGCTGGAAGTGGAAGGGTCGGGCCAGGAAGGTAAGACGGGAGATCTGCGTCAGGAGTCCGTCGTGAGCCAGGTATGGGCGCTCACTTGTAACCAGCTCCTGCGGCGCCTGCGCCCACCATCACCACCATCACGATGATCCAGGACGATCCAGGGCGATTCATGACGATTCAGAACGATCCAGGGCGATTCATGACGATCCAGGGCGATCCACGGCGATCCAGAACGACCCAGGGTTATTTATGAAGACCCAGGACGATCCAGGGCGATTCATGATGATGCAGGACGATTCAGGATGATCCAGAACGATCCATAACGATCCAGGACGATCAGGAAGACCACAGGCAACACGCAGAAAAGAGAAAGCGTGTGTGTGAATAAGGTTGGAAGTAGACACACACGTACTCTCAACATATAGAAACTCACTGTACACACACACATACACACGCACACACATACACTACACATACACACACACACACACACGCACACACATACACATACACATACACACACACGCACACACATACACATACACAACACACACACACACACACGCACACACATACACATACACAACACACACACACACACACACACACACACACACACACACACACACACACACACACACACACACACACACACACACACACACACACACACACACACAACACACACACACACACACACACACACACACACACACACACACACACACACACACACACACACACCACACACACACACACACACACACACACACACACGCACACGCACACATCACACACACCACACACACAGACGCAAAAGCACACACAACAACACAGTCAACACACAACACACACTACACATCACGGGTACTACCATTAATTCCAGAGGTGAGAGAGTTGACGGGCCGAGGTGCCACAGGTCAACGGTCTTCTACGTGGACTTACACTACCCGCGTTGATACAGGGCAGAGAGGCTCTGTGAATTACACAACACGGGGTTACAACAACACGGGGTTACAACAACACGGGGTTACAGCAATACGGGGTTACAACAACACAACACAACACGGGGTTACAACAACACGGGGTTACAACAACACGGGGTTACAACAACACGGGGCTACAACAACACGGGGTTACAACAACACTGGGTTACAACGACATGGGGTTACAACAATACGGGGTTGCAACAACACGGGGTTACAACAACACGGGGTTACAACAACACGGGGTTAGTAGATGAATGGTTCAGAGAACCGACATGTTGATAAATTAGACACATGTGCAACTCTTGGGTATCTTTATTGAGGAAACGTTTCGCCACACAGTGGCTTCATCAGTCCGTACGTAGGAGAAACTTGAAGAACAGGAGAAGAATGAAGTAATCAGTCCCTCAACCTTGAGTCGATGTGTTCAGTCCATCAATCTTGAATAGAATACGGCATATCAGCGGAGAAGCAGCTTATAAACCGTATGGCAGGAGAGGTGCAGCAGTCATAGGTCGTGTCACTGCAACTTCTTGGGATCTTAACACTTAGGAATTCTTCGCTTGCCTAATTCTTGGGCACGACCTACTTCCACATTGAACAAATGTGACACCACCTATGACTGCTGCACCTCTCCTGCCATACGGTTTATAAGCTGCTTCTCCGCTGATATGCCGTATTCTATTCAAGTTTGATGGACTGAACACATCGACTCAAGGTTGAGGGACTGATTACCTCATTCTTCTCCTGTTCTTCTAGTTTCTCCTACGTATGGACTGATGAAGCCACTGTGTGGCGAAACGTTTCCTCAATAAAGATACCCAAGAGTTGCACATGTGTCTAATTTATCAACAACACGGGGTTACAACACAACATTGGGTTACAACAACACGGGATTACAACAACACGGTGTTACAACAACACTTGGTTACAACAACACGGGATTACAACAACACGGAGTTAAAACAACACGGGGTTATAACAACAAGGGGTTACAACAACACGGGGTTACAACACAACACGGGATTACAACAACACGAGGTCACAATAACACAGAGAGAGAGAGAGAGAGAGAGAGAGAGAGAGAGAGAGAGAGAGAGAGAGAGAGAGAGAGAGAGAGAGAGAGAGAGAGAGAGAGAGAGAGAGAGAGAGAGAGAGAGAGAGAGAGAGTCGGTACAGCAGGTAATCAGAGCAATAACACAAGTTTAATGTGATATAACACTTGATTTAACACACTATAACACGACCACCAGGGAGACAACACGTGTTCTATCATGGGTGTGCTGATACTGGTGGTTGATGGTGGTTGTTGTTGCTGGTTGATGGTGGTTGAAAGTGGTTTGATGGTGGATGATGATGGTGGTTGTTGTTGATAGTGGTTGATGGTGGTTGATGATGGTTGTTGGTGGTGGTTGATGGTGGTTGATGGTGGTTGTTGTTGGTGGTTGTTGTTGGTGGTGGTTGTTGTTGGTGGTTGTCGTTGGTGGTTGTTGGTGGTTGTTGTTGGTGGTTGTTGTTGGTGGTTATTGTTGGTGGTTGTTGTTGGTGGTTGTTGTTGGTGGTTGATAATGGTTGTTGATGATGGGTGTTGATTTTAATTCTTGGTGATAGTTGTTGGTGGTTGTTGACTGTGATTAATGGTGGATGCTAGTAGGTGTTGATGGTGGTTGATTGTGGTTGATGATGGTGTTGTTGTTGGTGGGTTGTTGTTGGTGGTTGTTGATTGTTGGATTATATGTGTAGGGTAATAGTGAATTTTCATTATAGCTGATTGTGTGGTGATAATGGTTGTTGCTTGTGCTTGCTCGTGGAGGTGATAGTGATTGTTGTTTTGTGGGGAGGGTGGATGTTATTGATTGTGGTTGACTGTGTGGTGATGGTGGTTATCGATTGTTTGTTCAACTGATTGTCGTTGTGAGAGAGAGAGAGAGAGAGAGAGAGAGAGAGAGAGGAGAGAGAGAGAGGAAGAGAGAGAGAGAGAGAGAGAGAGAGAGAGAGAGAGAGAGAGAGAGAAGAGAGGAGAGAGAAAAGAGAGAGAGAGAGAGAGAGAGAGAGAGAGAGAGAGAGAGAGAGAGAGAGAACAAATTAAATTATAGATATAATATATATATATATATATATATATAAATATATATATATATAAATATATATATATATATAATATATATAATATATATATATATATATATATATATATTATATATAATATATATATATATATATATATATATATATATATGTATGTATATATATATATATATATATATATATATATATATATATAATATATATATATATATATTTTATATATATATACTTAAGCAAAATATGTTAATTTATATATCTACAACCATCGTTCACAATTAACAAGCATACATACATACATACTTACCTAGAAGCATATGTACACATAAACATACATACATAAAATCACTTAAATACACTCACAAATGAAAACTTTAAAGAGTAATGAAGGTATCTGCTGAAGAGGACCTTAACTAGAGATACTGATACACAGTTCATAACATTTCATGTTTGTGTTCCTTCTGGATTTGTTCACTCTTCAAGGGAGGTTCTTTGATGCTGGTGAAGGGCTTTTGATCCAATGCAGTGGACCTGTGCTCCAGTTCCTTGAATCGAGCCTGAATGACTTCTATTCCCCCAGGCGCTGTTTGTTCGCCTAAGAGGCTAAGCGCTCTCCCATGAATGTAATAATAATAATAATAATAATAATAATAATAATAATAATAATAATAATAATAATAATAATAATAATAATAATAATAATAATAATAATAATTAATAATAATAATCATAAGAAACATCATCATGATCATCACTGGGATTTATTTAGTCACTTTGAACGCAGCCAAGTAATTCCTAAATTTGAACTTCTCAGCCTAATAGGCAAATACTAACTAGGCACTCACAATCAAGTTCTCACAATCAGGTTCCTACAATCAGGTGCTTACAGTCAGGTGCTCACACGACAAGTCACTTACCTACCACCATGAGGCTACCATGTCCCGTGACGGTGTTAAAGTCAGGTCCCTCCGCCGACACCTCACAGCGGTACTGACCAGAGGTGTTGAACCCTACAGCGAGCAGCACTACTCGCCCAGGCTGCGTCAGCGTCTCCTGCGGTACGCCGACGTGCGTCGACACAGCGTACGGCAGGCGTAATCATATTACATGATCGTACGGCAGCCGTAGGAACGTCCGTGCGGGAGAGATATGATAATTTTGTAAGTATTCTCATGTTGTTAGTGTATGTATATATATATATATATATATATATAATATATTATATATATATATATATTAATATAATATATATATATATATATATATATTCGTGTGACACAAATGTAAGAAGTATTTTCTGGTAGTTCCCCTTCCAATTTCTGGCACTGTGTGCTGTGTATCCCTCAGAGTACGTGTCCTGTTGTGTGCATCCCCTAGAGTACGTGTCCTGTTGTGTGCATCCCCCAGAGTACGTGTCCTGTTGTGTGCATCCTCAGAGTACGTGTCCTGTTGTGTGCATCCCTCAGAGTACGTGTCCTGTTGTGTGCATCCCCCAGAGTACGTGTCCTGTTGTGTGCATCCCTCAGAGTACGTGTCCTGTTGTGTGCATCCCTCAGAGTACGTGTCCTGTTGTGTGCATCCCCCAGAGTACGTGTCCTGTTGTGTGCATCCCCCAGTAGTACGTGTCCTGTTGTGTGCATCCCTCAGAGTACGTGTCCTGTTGTGTGCATCCCTCAGAGTACGTGTCCTGTTGTGTGCATCCCTCAGAGTACGTGTCCTGTTGTGTGCATCCCTCAGAGTACGTGTCCCTGTTGTGTGTATCCCTCAGAGTACGTGTCCTGTTGTGTGCATCCCTCAGAGTACGTGTCCCTGTTGTGTGCATCCTTCAGAGTACGTGTCCTGTTGTGTGCATCCCTCAGAGTACGTGTCCTGTTGTGTGCATCCTCAAGTACGTGTCCTGTTGTGTGCATCCCTCGGAGTACGTGTCCTGTTGTGTGCATCCCTCAGAGTACGTGTCCTGTTGTGTGCATCCCTCAGAGTACGTGTCCTGTTGTGTGCATCCCTCAGAGTACGTGTCCTGTTGTGTGCATCCCTCAGAGTACGTGTTCTGTGTGTTCCCCATAATGTGTGTCTTCGTATTTCCCAGTGTAAGTGCCCACCTACAGTATGCATATATCCCCGGGTATGCGCGTCTGTGAATACATCGGGAGTGCTTGTACACCCATGTGTATATCCCCGGGTGTGCGTATCCCCCACTATCCCATTTCATACCTACGGTAATTCAGGTATCCCAAGATTAAGCAGGCGAGGCAAGTACCACTCCTAGTAGACGCAGGTGTGACCACCGGGACTCCCGGTATTCCCAGTATCCCCGAGTCATGTATATCTCCTCCCCCCTTACACATTTCCAATTCCCCCCAAGCGTCTGCCTCAGTGACGCATCCTCTACGTCCCTTCCTGCGTCTCAGAGTCTTAAAGTTTAACGCAGTTACCGTAATCGTAAGTATAGGCAGCTGACACACACACACACACACACGCACACACACACACACACACACACACACACACACACACACACACACACACACACACACACACACACCACACACACACACACATACTCACGGATCTTTCTTGCTTGTAATTATTATGCGGGTAATTAAGGTAATTAGAAATTATTCCGGCGGTAATTATCCTGTCCGATAATTAAAGAGCGCATTCCCATTTTCTCTTGAGAGAAAATGGGAATTATATCCTATTAAAGAAATAGATTATTGAATAAAAAAGTGGAATAGAAGAAGAAGAAGAAAAAGAAGAAGAAGAAGTAGTAGAAGAAGAAGACGACGAGGAAGAGGAAGAAGAAAAATGAGAAGAGGAAGAGGATGAAGAAGAAGAGAGAGAAGCAAAAGAAGTGAAAGAAAAAGAAAATAAAGGGAAGAATAAAAAGAAGAATTAATAATAACAATAATAATAATAACAATATTAATAGCAATAATAATAATAATAATAATAATAATAATAATAATAATAATAATAATAATAATAATAATAATAGTGAGGTAAGCGCACTATAAGAGACTAAAGGAAGAGAATGTAACTTAACCTATGAAGAAATGGAAACAGGTGAGACATAATCCGGACATAAGAGATACTCAGTGGAAATGTCAGAGTGGATAGGGAGGGACCATTTGAAGGGGACGGGTGCTAGGTAGCACAGATGGAAGCTGAATTAAAATGAGATTTTAGGAAGTACTTTTTCAGCCTCGAGATTGTAAAGTATAGACTGAGAGGCAGGAAAAGTTACTGAGCCTCGACCCCCCCATCCATACAATGGTGAGTACACACATACACGCACACTGTATATATATATATATATATATATATATATATATATATAATATATATATATATATATATATATATATATATATAACAATAAATTTGCATCATGGCAGCTCCATAAAATACAAAAATAAATACATTTTACAGGATTTTTGGTCTGTGGGAAAAATCACAAATAGAAATTTAACAGTGTGTAATTTTTCAGCATATAAATTCATTCTAAATAAACAAATTAGTTGGAAGTGATAATATATATATATATATATATATTATATATATATATATATATATATATATATATAATATAAAAAATATATATATTATATATATATATATATTTATATATAAAATCTGTCAGTCCTGGAGGTGATTCGAAGCTGTGCACTCGTCATCAGTGTACACAGTAGCTTCGCCACACAGCCAGTCTTCTGGTGTCTCACGTAAGGGCAAAGTTCACTTATACATGTGTATTAATGTGAATGACTGTGTATAGGTTGTGTGAATGACAGTGTTACGGGTCATTCACGAAGTTTACGACTTGTGAGCGCCTTCTGCCAGCCCACCTCTCAAACTATCATTGTGGATGGTAGGTGACGTGTGGTTTAGTGACCTTCCTTAGGTCACCTGACAGTGCTCCCCCCGGAGAGCTTGTAACTATCGGTCTGCCGTGTCAATCTCTTCATTTCTGTTCACTTTGTTCTTGGATAATCTAGTTTTCTTGTTGTTACTGCTGCTAGTTGTTTAAACTTGATGCGTCTTGATGTGATGTTTTGTGTAAACATTGATAAACTTACTCTGCGAATTTTTATTTTTTTTCTGCAGGGTAAGTGCTGAGTTTCTTTCTCCCCCCTCCCCCTGGTATCACTTGGAGTAAGGTATACTTGTTTACGTTCTCTGGAATATACACTGACACGTTAGTAAATATATATATATATATATATATAATATATATATAATAATAATATATATATATATATATATATATATATATATATATATATATATAAATATATATATATATATATATATATATATATATAATATATTATATATATATCTTTTGAGAACAGAGACTATCTCTTAACGTGGTGGACAAGCCTCGTTTGATGTCGCTTGGTTGTTTAATCTGGATTTAAAATCAATCTTCTACACTAGGATCATTAAGCCTGCACGTCCCTTATCCACCACCAGTCAGGGATTTAACCACACTCTCAGCGTATATACACTGACAGACATACACCTCTCCGTGTCTACACTCTGTATTCGAGGTCAGCTGTCACACGGGAATAATATATGTATATGCGGAGGTTCGGTTGGTGTCACACTAAGGTTGATGCAACAATTAGAAGTTATTTGTTTCAGAATTATAGACATTAATCAGTATAAATTGTAGGTTGGTGTTTGGAAATATCTGGATATTTCGACTCACACCAGGGCCCCTCCTTAACAGTATTATTTTCTGTCAGGCTAAATATTTGTAAAATCGCTTATCATAAAATTGGGCTTCCTTGGGTCGAGTCTTAGCTCTTGGTCCTTTCTTATAACCTACATTAGACGCAGCTTTGGTTCCTAGTCCTTTTCAAGTCATCCAGGGCATTCCACTTTCTGGCCACTCTATATCACTTAATGTCTACGTCGCTCACATATAACGGAAAGAGCACCAGTCATATGACCGATCCTTGTGGAACCCCACTCGTCGCACTTTCCCATCGTGATACCTCTTCCAGGAGAGTCACTCTATGTCTCCTTGGCTTTAGTGTTCTTCTTTCCCTGTTATCCCTGACTTATCCACTAGATTTTGGCTTTCTCTTGCGTGGTACAGTGTCGCAGGACTTCTTGCAGTCCAAAAATATGCAGTCCACCCATCGACGTCTCTTCTGTCACCCTGTTAAAGAACTCCAACAGGTTTGTGAAATAGAGTTCACCGTCTCTAAACCTAAGTGTGTATGTGTGTGTGTGTGTGTGTGTGTGTGTGTGTGTGTGTGTGTGTGTGTGTGTGTGTGTGTGTGTGTGTGTGTGTGCGTGCGTGCGCGTGAGTGTATGTGTGTGAGTGTGTGTGCGTGCGCGTGAGTGTGTGTGTGTGAATGTGTGTGCGTGCGCGTGAGTGTGTGTGTGTGTGCGTGCGCGTGAGTGTGTGTGTGTGTGAGTGTGTGTGCGTGCGCGTGAGTGTGTGTGTGTGCGTGCGCGTGAGTGTGTGTGTGTGTGTGTGTGTGTGTGTGTGTGTGTGTTGCGTGCGCGTGAGTGTGTGTTACGTGTAAGCATGAGTTCATTTTTTTCAACTTCTGGCAGTTGCCTCAGAGGTGAAGGTGATGTACATGTATCTCCCCGTCCCCCCAACTCTTTGGTCCCTTCTCCCTTTCCCCTCCCCTCACCACATACCCTCTCCTCCATCCTCTTTCCTCTCCCCTCCCCTGTCCCATCCACCCCTATCCATCTATTCCCCCATTCCCCTCCCCCTCCCACCACCTTCATAAATATTCCAGCTTAACAAAACTCTACGTGATGCTGTTGTGAATTCTCCCGCTACTCAGGGCGGCACTAGGACCCGATGAGCAATACATGATGCATCATCCCCCCCCACCCTACAACCCCTCCCCTCCCCATCCTATCCTCCCTAAATCCTCCCCCTCTCCCTCATTCCCTCCCTCCACCCCCCCACACACAGTTATAAGTAATTCATAACGGAGTCGATACATCGACTCTGGGCCGGACTGTAGACAAGGGGATCATGTTAAGCAGACCAGACGTTCCCAGCTTACGTGATGAGTTCC